TACGGGACCTGAACCTGTTCAGCCTCCACAAGAGAAGGAGGAGGGGGGATCTAGGGGCCTGTTACAAACTAGTCAGAGGGGACCAGCAGGCACTGGGGGAGTCCCTGTTCCCCCAAGCATGACCAGGAGTGACTAAGAATAACAGTCACAAGCTGGCAGAGGGTAGATTCAGGCTAGACATCAGGAGGTGCTACTTCACTGTCAGGGCGGCTAGGATCTGGAACCAACTTCCAAGAGAAGTGGTGCTGGCTCCTACCCTGGGGGTCTTTAAGACAAGGCTTGACAATCACCTTGCTTGGGGTCGTTTGACCCCAGTACTCTTTCCTGCCATGGCGGGGGGTCGGACTTGATGATATGCTCAGGTCCCTTCCGACCTGACCAACTATGAAACTATGAGCTTTAGTTAAAACACCCCCCACATTTTTCAGCATGGGGGCACTGATACACGTGACGCTGGAGTCTGCTGCAGTGCAGTAATTACCACGCTTCAGCGGACTCGATTAGTCAAGTCTGCTCGAATGCGCTGTAATTACAGCACGTCCAAGCAGCCTTGCTGCACATGTACAGCCCTCCCTGTGACTGATACGCAGGCGATGAGAAGGGGTTTAAGAAAACCAAGTTGTAAAGCCAGGGGCAGTCCATCCACTGGCTGCAATGGAGAGTGGATCAGCCCTCTTAGCTGAACTCCAGGAACCAGACCTGCTGCATTAGTGTTTCCCTGTCCGTGAAGAGGCCCAGAGTTCACCAGCAGTAAGGTTTTCATTCCAACAGGAAGAGGCGAATCTCCCCAGGCAGCACAAATCTTACACAAGCCACCCAAACCTTGCAAGCTCAAGCAGCGCAGAGGGAAGCTGCCTGTGGGAATAGCACGCGAGTGTGGACCTGTAGGAGCTCTTTTGGCTGCAATGAGTTCTCTCTGTCCCAGCTAACAGCAAAGCCAAAAAGCAAAGCAACACCAAAAAAACCAAGACAGAGTAAAAGATCCACTTCTTATAAAGGAGGGCACCTCAAAAAAAAAAAAAAAAAAAAAATCACTCTTAAAGTGTCTAATACAAGGAGAAACACTTATTGTCTTCTTTTAAAAGCAGGAGATAAAAATCCTGGCTCTAATGAAATCAGGGGCAAAGTTCTCATCATGTTCAGGAAGTCAGGATTTCCAACACGGCAACATTCCTTACTCTGAGCTACCGCCCATCTCATGCCCCAGCTCATCATTTCTTGCCTAGTACTTCAGATCACTCCCAGGAGTTACCTCCTGCACATCACTGGGACAAAATACCAGCAGATCCACACTGGAATGAATGCTAGGGACCACTGCTGTTCAAACACACACCTCTGCTCCAGTCTAAAGAGCTCAGACATTCTTCCTGAAGCTAGTCCTGCAGAGCACCGTCTTCTCTTCCGAATGCAAGAAAACTGTAAGAGAAGGATGGACAAAGTCCCCCCAGAATTTCAATGACTTCCTTGTGAGGAATTTACTGTAGTCTTTGCTCATGGTGATTTGTCTTAGTGTAAGAAACATTGCTTTAGAATTGCTGACACTTGAGAGACTACTTCATATTTAATTAGAGGATAATATGTGATACCAGCTGCTACTGCCTGTTCTGGTCAAAGTCTATTCAAGCACTATTTGTCTTTGGACCTGGAAAAATGCAAAGCACATTGGCAGGGCATAAAAACCTTTGATAGTTTTGCACCTTTATATCACAGACTGTTCTAACTTGCAGTCCTGCATTTGGATTCAAAACGTTTAGCCCTGCTCAGCTGTTACAGCAGGGCACTACTGAAATACTGCTCAGACAGTTCTACGACCTTCCAGTTACCCTTCTTCTGAAATCCTTCTCCAGGTCAGTGTGAATACCAGCACATACCGCCATCATACTGATGTTCTATGGAGTGTGCATTTACAATTAAATACTCCTGGGGCTACTTTTGCTATTAGTAAAGGAGGCAGCTGCGAGATGGGCATGGTTGAAGGGCTCAGACTCGCAGCATGAGTGAGGAGAAGCAGAGACAGCTATGAAGTTCCTGTTTGCCCTGCTGACAGCTGGAACACATGCATTTCTGTGGGCAGCAGGAAGCAGAAATAAAACCTGTGTCCTTAATGATCTTGACTCTCACTCCCTCTAAATACCTCCTTTAAACATGCTCCTTCTGATACCTGTAAATTCTGGTCCTCCAAACAGAGCATCCTGAGTAGAGAAAACCTTCAATAACACTGCCCTCTGACTGGGCAGCACAAATCCATCCAATTGCCTAACAGCCAGCCAGCTCTTGTAGGGCAGGGCACTCCCATCCTATTCTTTATACAGATACTGCCCTCACTCATAAAATAATAACTGGGTGGAAGTTACGTGAGCACTTCACAAGGTTCAGTCACACAAATCACTCTGGAATCTAGGTCACAGAGGGCGTGGAGATAACAACAACCTATCATTATTAGTATTTATGAGTTATAATACGAGTTAAAGGACTCACCAGGCACCCTGCTTAGCTTGGTTTTTATCAAGGTGCCAATCATTCAGCGCATACGTACGCACACAGAGGCAGCTGCCTTTCCATGCCACCAGATTTCTCTCTGGAATGACAGAAGCTGAGGTATCTGGTCTAGTCACAGGTGGTTACAGAAACCCCCATGAAACTAAATACTAAAGAAAATTAAAAATTAAAGCAGCTGCATCCTCCACGGGAGCCCGGCTCTTACTTTACAGCCGTACTGCAGAGCGAGCTTGTTAAGGCTGTCACCCGCCGTAATCTCTCGTTCCAGCAGCACCACATCCCCAACCTTCTCCCGGGAAGCCACACGTCTCTGCTGCTCCTTGCCCCTTGGGCGTAATTCCATGACATCAAACTCTTCCTCCGATGACTCATCCGAGTCCGACCGGCCATTTCGAAACACATAGACGTGGCTGCTTGGATAGTTATGGACGGTAACGGGAGCCTGAAAGGATCTGGTCAGCCCCTCATTCAGCCTCATGATTTATCCCAGCTCCTGGAACACAAAGCAGATACATGTCAGGTTACCTAAGCATGAAACAAGTCCAGTGTTTGCAACCAGCTGTCTACCTAGCTGCTCTCCAAACTCCCTCCTTATGGGCTGAGAGTGGACTGAAAGTGCAGCCACTTTGTCAAATACCCACAAAACTATGTCAGGATTCATTGGAGGTCCAGACCCCCCACAGCAGAAACCAAGCAAAAGTGCTCCTGCAGCCAGGGCAGAAAGTGGTGCTCACATCCACCAGGACGAGGGAGGAGGCTGCCTTCACCGTGGCGAGTCCTGCAGCGTTTTGTCACTAGTGAAAAATCATTGTGTGATGCTATTGCACAACATACAGCCACATTAATCACGCCTGCCCGCCAGCACGGGGAAAGTGCAGGACAATTCGCCACGGACACGAGGGAAAGGTCAGCCAGGCTCTGGGCTCCCCCAGGCAGCTGCGCATCGGCTGGGGGTGAAACACCCAGGGGCCTCCTGCCAGTTTGTGACTGACGTCAAGCTACGACGGATGCAGCCGCACAGGCTCGCACAATGGCGCGGCCAGGCCTGGATTCGATACAAAGCAAAGCTGCCTTTGCCCCGGACAACAGGGGAGATGGGGCGAGAGAGGCGCCAAGTTGGGAGCCCCCGCTGTTGCTGGGAGAGACACAGGGAGGAGGGCCAGAGCCTGCGGGAG